TTTCCTCTCTTCTCATTATGATGCATTCGCAGATTGAAGCTCTAAAAGCTGCTGGAGTGTCTGAAGTTGTATTAGCTATCAATCACCAACAACCAGAGGTACATACATACATTGTCCTTAATAATGTCGATATATAATTGATGATTTCCCATGAAATTATTCATCCTCCATCCTCCTTGTGTTTTTCTTTTGGTATTTCTAGGTCATGTTGAATTTTGTGAAAGAATATGAGAAGAAGCTAGAGATCAAGATTACATTTTCCCAGGAAACTGAACCGCTTGGGACAGCAGGGCCTCTAGCGCTGGCTCGGGATAAGCTGGTCGATGAATCAGGCCAACCCTTTTTTGTACTTAACAGCGATGTTATATGCGAATACCCTTTGCTTGAAATTGGTCGAATTTCACAAGACTAACTGCGCTGAAGCTTCAATTATGGTGACCAAGGTAATAAAAAAAGAGAGCATTTTCTGCATTTTGTAAATTTGAATCATTCATCTGTTAATAGCATTTTCTGATATTAACAGGTTGATGATCCTTCTAAGTATGGTGTGGTGGTTACGGAGGAAGGTACAGCGAGAGTTGAAAGTTTTGTAGAGAAACCGGAACATTTTGTGGGGAACAAGATTAACGCTGGGATATACCTCTTGAACCCATCAGTTCTCGACAGGATTGAGCTGAGACGGACTTCCATAGAGAAAGAGATATTCCCTAAGATAGCTTCAGAGAAGAAGCTTTACGCGATGGTACTACCTGGTTTTTGGATGGACATTGGTCAACCAAAAGATTACATAACCGGGCAAAGAATGTACCTTAACTCCCTAAGAGAGAAAGCTCCGCAAGATTTGGCTACAGGGGATAACATATTCGGGAATGTTCTTGTGGACAAGAGTGCGGTTATAGGAGAAGCTTGCTTGATAGGACCTGATGTGGTAATTGGTCCGGGATGTGTGATTGATTCAGGTGTAAGATTGTTTGGTTGTACTGTCATGCGCGGTGTTTGGATCAAGGAACACGCGAGTATCTCTAATAGTATCGTGGGATGGGATTCGACTGTTGGTAAATGGGCTCGGGTTGTTAACATAACGGTTATTGGCAAAGATGTTCACGTCGCCGATGCAGAGGTTTACAACAGCGGGGTTGTTATCGAAGAGCAAGGTCTGTGAAACCCGAGCCTAGTAGTTACAATTTAAAACATTGATAAACCATGATCAAAACAGCATTAGACATACTTAAACATTAATCCTCTTTAACTCTATGATAAATCGGTTAAAAATGGTGTATTTGACTCCAATGAAGAACGTTTTCAGATCCATATCCCTAAGCAAGTTGTGTATTTTTCTTTCGTAAAAAATTTGGGACATTCTTTATAGATAAGGCGTATGTTTTTTAAACACCAAAAAGTGATTTATTAATAGACTAAACAGTAGTTAGGTGTATGTAATGTTTAATTAACGTTGAGAAAAAATGAAAGACGTGACGGCAGAAAGAAAGAGAGCGAGTGGACCCGACCCGGACGGCACGGAGACACTTTCAGTTTCTTCTTCTTCTTCTCTTCTGTCTTGTTTAGTTCTCTCAAAATCAATAGAGTATTTTTTTCATCTCTGAAACGACTTCGTCTCCTCCCACACCATTGTCACTTTCTTCTTCTTTTTCATCTTCACCCTTGTTGTCTCCTTCTGATTTTGGCTTTTAACTTCTTTCTACCGTACTTGTCTTTCTTCCTCTCTGGTATATCCTTACATTTCCTAATTTCTTAGCCAATTACTGTTTGGAATGATCTTAATTTTGTACTTGTCAATTCCTTGATTTTGGTTGGCACTTTTTTCTTTTGAGATTGTCTCGTTTTGATGCTGAAACTCAAGTATTTATTAGTTTTTTCGTTTGTACCCTTTTGTTGATGTTTTGGTTTGGGGAATAAATGTGTTTCCTTTAAACTTTTTTTCCGTCAATTTGAGTTCTCAGGTCAACGACAATGGATGAATGAATGTTCTTAACCCATTAACCAAAAATGATTTTGAGAGAGATTCTGTAAACAAAGACCGCATTTTTGTTGCTTGAGTTATTGAATTTTGGTTCTTAAAATGATCTTGGATGATAACTCTTTATTTTATTTTTCTTCTTTGTGAAGACAGGTTTGGGATTCATGAGTTGAGTCACAAGTAAAAAGCATGTTAGACTGTGCCAAAAAAGCAGTGAAATCACAAGTAATCAGTGGCCATCTCGAGAAATTTGTAAGGTAACTCTCATTATTGTATATAGTTGATCGAAATAAGATTTAACATGATGATAACATTTTAGCAGATTTAGATATTGTTTAGCCAAAAAGACCATTCCTTTACTTCAGGTTTGAAACTAAATGGATATCTTTAGTTTATTTTGTTCTTCACAGGTTGGATAGTATGGATTCTAGGTACTCTCAGACTTCTGATGCTGGTCTTAACAGATGCACTCTCAATTTACAAGGACCAACACGTGGTGGTGGTGCTCAGGGCAACAATGTTTCTTCTGGTTCCTTTAAGAAAGGATTTAGAAAAGGCTCTAAAGGTCTTTGGTCTATAGGAAGATCAATTGGTTTGGGGGTTTCACGAGCAGTTTTTCCTGAAGATCTTAAAGTATCAGAGAAGAAGATTTTTGATCCACAGGACAAGTTTCTTTTGCTCTGCAACAAGCTGTTTGTTACTTCTTGCATTCTCGCTGTGTCTGTGGATCCGCTCTTCTTGTATCTTCCTTTTGTTAAGGATAATGAGAAATGTATCGGTATAGACCGGAGATTGGCTATCATAGCAACAACACTGCGGACAGTGATCGATGCGTTTTATCTTTTTCATATGGCTCTTCGGTTTAGAACAGCTTTTGTCGCCCCTTCTTCTAGGGTTTTTGGGCGTGGCGAACTTGTGATCGACCCTGCACAGATAGCAAAACGGTATTTGCAGCAGTATTTCATCATTGACTTTCTCTCTGTGCTTCCGCTTCCACAGGTAATAACAGAAATGCTCCCCTCAGTGTTCTCTTATTTTCTATTATTTTTTTTGTTCTCAAACTTTGGTGACGAGTTTATGTTATTTACTGGGTTTTTTCAGATTGTAGTTTGGAGATTTCTTGGCATCTCTGGAGGTGCAAGTGTGCTGGCAACAAAGCGGGCGTTGCGATCGATCATTTTACTTCAATATATTCCGAGATTCATTCGGCTGTATCCTTTGAGCTCAGAGTTAAAGAGAACAGCTGGTGTTTTTGCTGAAACTGCTTGGGCTGGTGCAGCTTATTACTTGCTACTCTACATGCTCGCAAGTCATGTCAGTACTTACTATTTTTGGTACCCTTTCCTCTTATATCCTCAAAAAACTCATTCATAACTCTCTTGTTTTGCCTTTATGTGTTTATCAGATTGTTGGGGCTTTATGGTACTTATTGGCCTTAGAACGCTATAATGGATGCTGGAGCAAGGCTTGCGGTAATAATAGCCTGGACTGTCAAAGAAACTTCCTGTTTTGTGGTAATGAAAATATGGATGGTTATGCAGCTTGGTCTACCATCAAAGATTCTGTTCTTCAAACAAATTGTCCAGTTAATACAACCGATAATCCTCCTTTTGATTTCGGAATCTACTTAAGAGCCCTGTCTTCTGGCATTGTCTCATCTAAGAGCTTTGTCTCTAAGTACTTCTTCTGTTTATGGTGGGGACTTCAGAATCTCAGGTACGTAATTCTAAAATCATTCGTCTTTTCTAATAATGTCATTATAATAACAAGTCTCTGATGGATTATTAACCTCATTGATGTCAAATGCAGCACTCTTGGTCAAGGGCTTCAAACCAGTACATACCCTGGAGAGGTTATATTCTCCATAGCACTTGCTATTGCTGGACTTCTTCTCTTTGCTCTTCTTATTGGAAACATGCAGACTTATCTTCAATCCCTTACTATACGGCTTGAAGAAATGAGAGTAAAAAGACGCGACTCAGAACAGTGGATGCATCATCGAATGCTTCCACCGGAACTGCGGGAACGAGTCAGACGATATGACCAGTACAAATGGTTGGAGACACGCGGAGTTGATGAAGAGAACTTGGTTCAGAATCTCCCAAAGGATCTGAGAAGAGATATCAAACGCCATCTCTGTCTGGCTTTGGTTCGGAGGGTAAGTTGAATCTTATTTTAAAAGCCTTTTTCTAATTTTGATTCATAAATGAAACCATTTTGTTCCTTTTTTTCATGGAAAGGTTCCATTGTTTGAGAACATGGATGAGAGGCTGCTCGATGCAATCTGTGAGCGGTTGAAGCCGTGTCTGTACACAGAGAGCTCTTATTTGGTTCGGGAAGGAGACCCGGTTAATGAGATGCTCTTCATTATCCGTGGGCGGCTTGAGAGTGTGACCACCGATGGCGGGAGAAGCGGTTTCTTCAACCGCAGTTTGCTTAAAGAAGGAGATTTCTGTGGGGAAGAGCTTTTGACATGGGCACTTGATCCCAAATCCGGTTCCAATCTACCATCCTCTACCAGAACCGCAAAGGCTCTAACTGAAGTAGAGGCTTTTGCTTTGATAGCCGATGAGCTCAAATTTGTGGCTAGCCAGTTCAGGAGACTACACAGTAGGCAAGTTCAACACACATTCAGATTCTACTCACAACAATGGAGAACTTGGGCTGCTATTTTCATACAAGCCGCGTGGCGACGATATGTGAAGAAGAAGAAACTTGAGCAACTCAGGAAAGAAGAAGAAGAAGGAGAAGGATCAGTTACTAGCATCAGAGCGACGTTCCTGGCTTCAAAGTTTGCTGCCAATGCACTTCGTAAAGTTCACAAGAACCGTATTGAAGCAAAGTCTACTAAAGAACTTGTGAAATATCAGAAGCCTTCAGAACCTGATTTCTCTGCTGATGATCCTTGTTGACCAAATTTTACAAAAAATACTAATGTCTATGAACGCGAATAACTTGTATAACTCAGATTGAATTTTATTGTTTGATTTGTGCTGCTACATTAAGATAAAGAAAAAGCTGGTAATATAAATCATTATTTGTGATTTGATTGTTTTATATGCGTTTCTTTCTGTTTGCTGAAGATAAAAGATGAAAGATATTGCAGGTTCACTGAGAGATACATAGTTTGATAGGTTAATTGAGAGATAACATAGTTTAATAGCAAACTAAACTTGCTCGGATCAACCTTTCAGGAAGTTTTTGCAGAGTTTCTGCCATAGAATCCTGTCTGGTTGCGCAGTCTCCATCGTACTCTTTGCCTTATCCGCAAACTCTTGCTGAAAAAAAAACCAAAAATCAATCACATTGCAATTCTCGATATAGTTAACTACATTGAGGATCATAGAGAACACTCCCTAAAATAAAGATCATAGAGAAGGAGAACAAACCTCCATCAGTTTCATATTAAGAACACGGTCGACGATCTCAAACAGAATCTCTTTGTTATACTCAGGATGCCCTTGAATGCAGAAAAAATGATCTCCAATAGAGAACATCTCAACCTCGCAAACCTCAGAAGATGCAAGTAATGTAGCAGACTCAGGGAGTTCCAACACTTCATCCTGATGGCATTTTATAATGGCTAAAGATGCCGGTACCTCGCCTCCAAAGTAACCGCGTAGTTTTTCATTGTCCTTCGCTATGGTTATGCTTCTAAGTCCCATATCTACACCTTTGAGAGCCCTTCCTATCTTCCCACCTTTGACTCTAGTAATAATCTGGCCACAAGAACAGAGACAATCCAGAACAAAGAAAACATTCATCAAGAACCACTCTCATCGATCAACAATTGAAATGCTCAGTGATTCGATTACCAAATTCAAGGTTTTTGACTTATAATTCCAAATTCAAGCAAATGAGCTAAAATGTGATTCAATCTAAACCCTAAGAATCGAAGCAATCAGATCCAAATCAGAAATTGCAAGATTCAATTCAAAAGAACCTGGTGGCCGAAACAGATGCCGAGGACTTTCTTCTTCATGTCGTCAAGTTTCTGACAAACCTCACAAAGCTTAACAATCCAATCGACGTCTCCGAAAGCATCATGTGGACTACCACTGATAACGAAACCGTCGTACTTGTCTAAATCCTTATCGTCGGGAAAGTCGCCGTCGATGACTCGGAATAGATCCCATTGCTCACCTTCATCGCCGAAAGTCGAAACGAAGACATTGAAGTAACCACCGTAAGTCTTCTTCACGAACTCTGAATCACACGTCGCTAAAAACAAAGCAAACCTCTTCTTCTGCTCAACCACCACCATCTTCTTCTGCTCAACCACCACCATCTTCTTCTTCTTCTCAGAGATCACGGAGAGAGAGAGAGAGAGATTCGGAGAATGGAAAATGTGGTTAGAGCGACGGAGAGAACACGATCCAACACGCCAAGTGAGATTTTTTTTTTTTTTTTCTTTTGTTTTTCGGTAGTGAGATGTTTGTTAAATAAAGAAACCAAAAAAAAAAAAGGTCAAATATAAAATTGGATAAAACGAGAGACTTCAATAAATAGCTGTCTATAAGATGAGAACTCCACCGATTAATTTACCTAAAAGTTTATTTTTTCTTTTTTTTTTTCTTTAGTTTAGCTTAAGTTTAGAATCACATTTATGATTTTACAGAGTTTTTTTTTTTTGAAGAAAAATTATGAACGTGGAAATTAAACCAAGTGGGTTCTTCGTCCTTTGAGAAAATTCTTGCAAAGCATGTGTAAACGCTGCGTGTCTGGTTCAATCTTCTCGATCGAGTCCTTTGCTTTCTCCACAATTTCCTCCTACATATTTTAAGTTATTATTTTTTTTAAAAAGAAGCATTTTATAGATTCCTCACCTTTAGCTACTACATAAATAACAAATCGACGAAAAAAAATAAAAAATAAATAACAAATCATGAACAATGGAGTTATAAGTGGGGTAGGAGAATATTTTCCCAAGGGTTGGGACATAATCTATAATTTAATAAGATCAAAACCAGAGATAGACATTTAAACGAACCTCAATAAATTTGATCTTGTGGACACGATCAATGATCTCAAGGAGAATCTCCTTGTTATACTCGGGATGACCTTGAAAGCAAAGCAAGTGATCTTCTACTGAGAATATCTCTACGTCGCACTTTTCCGAGAATCCAATGACTATGGCCGACTCAGGAGCCTCAAGTACTTCGTCTCGATGACATTTTATGATCGACAATGACTCGGTTTCATCGAAGTAACCACCTGGTTTGATCAAATCTTTAACGATCGTTATGTTACCCAGGCCTAGGTCTGGTCCTCTACGAGCCCTTCCCACTTTCCCACCTCTTATTCTACATATTATCTAAATCCCAAAAAAAAAAAAAAAACAATTAACAAACGTAAGGTATATTGTTTTGAGGATTAGTAAACACCATGTGTAGATGTAGATGAAACTAATTCAACTAGCCAGCTTCAATTGTTGATACATCTATTATATAGACATACATAGTTATTTCTTTGATAAATATATATTCGTACTAATATAGATACAACGAAAGAACTTATACTTATCCAATGCATCATTTACTTTCTGTCTGTAATATTATCTGAGTGTAAACTAAGGGGGGTGTATTGAAGAAAGAATTTAGAGTGATTTGAGTTTTAATAAGTTTTGAAATGATTTTGGTGAATTTTGGTGAATTAGGAAATTTGTTATTAAAATTCTCCCAAATCCCACCTACAACCATGAGATTTGGATGTATGAATTTTTAACTAAGATATTCTCTGAAATCCCACCCAAAGTCACTCAAGTCACTTCAAATCCACAACTTAAAATATTTCCAATAACAGTGGATTTGATTGTAGATTTTAAAATCACTAATCCAATAACACTTGATTTTAGAAAAAATTTTAGAATTCATGTTTGAATAACATAAGATTTAAAATTTTAATACAAATTATTTCAAATCCTCTATTGAATACACCCCCCTAAAAATTCAAATGTTATTACAGTCTCACTCTTTTCCATTTTATGTTAAAATTTTCAATTTTTAATTAAGGATATTATTTTCAATATATAAGTTCACAAATAAAGCATGATGATTCTAATATTAATTATGCAGTGTTATTTTTAAATTTTAAATTAATTACTTTGAATAAAACTAGATTCATCTAGTCGAGCACTAGTCTACAACATAGCTTATGAAGTTAGGCAAAACAGTATATGTACATAGTTCGAATTTTTAAAGAGAACTTTAAGAAAGAAAAACACACCTTAGCTAAAAAAAGAAAGAAAAACACACACTAACACGCACATGCATATATTATATATATAAAGAATTTACCTGGTAAGTAATTAAAAAACTAGGGAGACTCACAAAAATGCCCCTTTTTTAATACCCCTTTTCAAAAATGCCCCCTTTGGATGTCCATTTTTAAAAATACCCCTTTTATGTTCAAAATGACTAAATTACCCTTCTTTTAATAAAAGATATCATAAATATATAAGAAAATATAACAAAATTAGGTCCACAAAATACAAAATATTTTTTGGCGGGAAAAGTGATCCCCCAATTTTTCCCGCCAAAACACTTGTAAAAATTTGTAAAACCTTTAAAATACCTTGTAAAATTTTCCCGTAAAATTTTTTCCCGCCAAAAATTTTTTTTTGCGGGAAAAGTGATTCCGCAAATTTTTTGGCGGGAAAATTTTTGGCAGGAAAAATTTACAAGGTATTTTAAAGGGTTTTTACAGGGTATATATAAGGTTTTACAATGTATTTTAAAAGGTTTTACAACGTATTTATAAAGTATTTATAAGATATTATAAGATTTTACAAGCTATTTTATAAGGTTTTACAAGTTATAAGGTTTTACAAGTTATAAATACCTTATAAAACCTTATAAATACCTTGTAAAACCTTTTAAAATACATTGTAAAACCTTACAAAACACTTGTAAATACTCCGTAAAACCTTTAAAATACCTTGTAAATTTTTCCCGCCAAAAATTTTTCCGCCAAAAAAATTTCGGCAAAAAAATTGCGGAATCACTTTTCCCGCAAAAAAAATTTTTTGGCGGGAAAATTTTTTGGCGGGAAAAATTTTTACGGGAAAATTTTACAAGGTATTTTAAAGGTTTTTACAAGTGTTTTGGCGGGAAAATTGCGGGATCACTTTTCCCGCCAAAAAATATTTTATATTTTGTGGACCTAATTTTGTTTCAAATAAGGGTAAAATGGTCATTAAAAATTAAAAGAGGGCAAACTTAAAAATGGACTCTCAAAAGGAGCATTTTTGAAAAGGGGTATTAAAAAGGGGCATTTTTAACAATTTCTCAAAAAACTATACATTTCCTAGGTTATCCAAGTAGACGATATTTTAAATAATAGAAGAAGAAAAAAAACATTGGATGATATTAATATCAAACCTGGTGACCAAAGCATATGCCAAGAATTTTCTTCTTCATCACATCAAGTTTTTTGCAAACAGTGCAAAGCTCAATGATCCAATCCTCTTCTGTGAAAGCGTCATGTAAACTCCCGCTAATGACGAATCCGTCATACTTCTCAAGATCGTCGTCACGAGGAAACTCGCCGTCTATCACACGGAAAAGATCCCATTGCTCTCCTTCGTCTCCGAAAGCTGACACAAATACGTTGAAGTAGCCTCCGTACATCTCCTTCACGAACTCAGAATCTGGCGTGGCCTGAAATAGAGCGTATCTTCTTACCTGCTTCACCATTGTGATAGGGAGAGCGTGAGAGAGAGAGATAAAGATGTTATTGATGATGAGAGGATTGAGAGATGTGTTAGGGCATATATGTAGGAGTAGGAGGTAGACACTTTCGGTTTGGTCTAAAAGAACCGGTTTTCGGTTTGGTCTAGTGAGCAAATTAATTAGTTTTGGAATATCCCAACAACTGAGATCCATTTTATCTTGAGGTATAGAAGGAAACTGCAGGACAACAATTAGGTTTTCCTATTTTTCTTTTTTTGATAAAAAAAAACAGTAGGATTTATCGCTTTATTATTGTTATACCGGTTTAAATTATAAGATATGTGATTAATTGGTTCGATCCATTTTAATTCCTCACGTGTTTTCTGGCCATTATATTTCATGGCGACGTGTATTTGGGCATTGATTCTTTGGCTCTGACTTTGTAGAAGAAAAAATTTTCTTCTAACTTTTTCTAAGCCTACAATTTTTATAATTGTTATCAAAGAATTCATTTTTGTTTTGGAAGGAAACTTCCTTTTGCTTAATATTAGATGAAAAAAATCTTCTCACTTCCTCCACTTTTTTCTTCTATTAATGTAACAGTCAGAACCTTTGTGAATCATAATCGTAAGTGGATATTGACCGTTGATGGACGTTGGAAAAAAAGAAAGGGTGGATAGATGCATTTTATCACGACAGTAATGGATTGGATTGGTATTTAAAAGGCAGAAACAATGTAGATTTGTTCAATCTCCCTCTCTTATATACTAGTTGTTGAGTGTTGCATTAGCATGATAAACTTATTACTAAAAGAATGTCATGTACATTTATGTGAATGAATACCTCAATTAAATGTCACCTAATATATATTAAAAAAAAAAATCTGTCATGCGCATTGCTTAGCCTCTTTTTTTTTCTTCTGTTCGTGGTTTTTGTTTGAACTTAGGGTAACTGAAAAACCATGCATGACTACTAAAAAAGTAAAAATCACATGTTAAAGAAATAATTACATCACCAACTAATAGAAAAGCAAAATGAAGGACGCAGGTCGGGGGTATAAAATAAGTGTCCTCTGTTCGTCAGAAAAGGTTTTGGTCCTAAAACATTTTGGACTCATACTGAGCTGTTTCTTACACAAAATTGTTTGATTCTACTGTTCACGTGCATAAAAATATACTTTCAAATAAATTAAGATAATTTAAAATTGCTATTTAGCCTGGATATAATTTAAAATATCGGAAAAAAACAATCTTTAATAAATAAAATTGAATAGACATTGGTTACGAGAAGAAACATGTTTTTTAATATATACTTTTTGAGGTGAATTTTTGACATATGGCGAAGATAAAAACACAAAATAATCTTGCTGACAGAGATGAAGTTCGGAGGTGCGAGCACCTCGTCATCTCTGTAGGAGCTCCTAGTAATGGGTTATGGGTAAATAAGACATACCGCAAATTTACATTTATGTCAAGTAAAATGTAAATTGGGACACATCGAGAACTCTATTACAATACAAACTATTGTGCTAATCGATCTTGATCTTAAATAAATAAAAGCATCTTTTACTTCTTAATTTATAGAAAGTGGAGAAGGAATATTGTTCTAAAAATCTACTTTTGGTAATGGTCTAAGATTACACTCTACAGAGTTATTACCATGAGATTACAACTCTTCATGCATAAGTGAAGAATCAAATGACTTTTCAACAAGTAACTAAAAGTGATCTTTTTACTCTATCACGAATCTCCTCGGAGATGTATTGGAACAAAAGAATTTGGAAGATTTTGTAAAGTTTTGTGGAATTTAAGAAATTTTAGATCGACTTTGAGAGATTTAAGTGCGTGTTTAGAATATTTAGTGGAACTGTAGATCTTTTATTAAATATATATATAGTATTGTGACTTGGTGAGATGTAAAGGAAAAACTTTATGGTGATTCTGCGAGAATCTTGCAAGTTATCGAAATCAAAAACCGATGTTATCGAATAAAGCTTAAAAATGGGTTTCTGAAGAGTAGAGCTAAACCATTCACAATCACTTCAAAATTGAATTGACCTTTAATCAATCGTTTCGCCGCTGGTACAGTGGTATTCGTCGATTAGTTTCAGCGTTTAATGTATCTATTCAATTGCTGGAAGTCATTCGTTCTCACAAACTAATTCTTGTATCCTTTTTAATCTTCAAATAATTCTGTAGTTTAGAGCGTGAAACCCTCTTTTATGAGAGTGAAGAACAAAAGCCAGTGATAATATTATTTCTACAATATTTTTGTGAATTTTTTTTTAAAAATCATTTCCAAATAATACCTTTAGAGGTGTGACTTTTTCATTCATATTTTCAACTAAAAAGGTATCTAAATCTCCCACAATCAGTTTTCACTATTTTATAGAAATTGTTTTTGTTAAGTTTAAATACCATTGGATTTGAATATAATTTTTATAAATCATTAATTGAATAATAAGAGATTTTGAGTTATTTTGAATGATTTTACAAAAACTTCAACTTCAACCACATGAGATTTGGGACGAGATTTTATAATTACAAGTTGAATAATAGGTATTTTTGAAGAAACAAAAACCAAAATCTTTGTTCCAAACTTCCAATACATCCCCTAGACAACAAGGCCTTTTTTCCAAAGGTGGTTTAGGACTGAAGGATTCCAATAAAGTTTTTAAAGTAGTATTGTTTTGTTTGTTTAAGCTCTTGTATATAACTTTTTTTATTGATTAATAAATTTAACATTTCAACAACAAAAAAATTACTTTTCAATAAAATGTATTATTCGTAAATCAATTTATTATTTGAAAAATATTGAAAGAAGAGATTTCTTTATTTCCATTTTATATTTGACAAATAACAGCAATTATGGTTTTAAATAGTTTCTTCTTATTCATTTATCATGGCCCATGGGTATAATAACACACAAATAAGTCACGCCGAGATTAATAGGTTATACATTAATCAGAAACAAAGCAAGATAATAAATCCATAAATATTGTTCCAATATGACAGGAGCCAACTTGATAATTTGGAAGTAAAACTAATTAGTTGGAACTCTGCCTTTGAGGAAGTTCTTGCAAATCGTTTCCCAAAGTTTCCTGTCTGCTTCCCTGTTCTCCATCGTTGCCTTAGCCGCATCAGCAAATTCTTGCTGCATATTTAATTTACAATTTCTTAGAAATATTATAGATTTTGTTCTCATTGATATTTTTCATTCGATTCCAAAACAATTATAATGATCATAAGTTTATACCAGCAAGGCAACAACATGCCACATGCAAGTGATACTAGCTATGAGGTGTACTAAATTGAAGTGACTAACCAACACCCTAATTTATAATATTCTAATTCGATCCGGTGAATATTTAACCCAAAACCCACCCATATAGACTATATCCAAATTCTTATATATTTTCTTCTTCTGTAAATTAAGGGAAAAAGAGAAATAAACCAACCTTGACGAAGCCTTGAGCAAGAACACGATCAACAATCTCGAAGAGAATCTCTTTGTTATACTCAGGATGTCCTTGAATACAGAACAAATGATCCTCAATTGAGAACATCTCCACCTCGTAGTTGGTGGAATAAGCTAGCACTTTAGCAGTTTCCGGCAGCACCAACACTTCGTCCTGGTGACATTTGATGATCGCCATGGTGTCAGGAATCTCGTCTCCGAAGTAACTTCCCGGTGTAATCGCATCCTTCACGATGGTTATGTCTCCAAGTTTGAGTTCTGGTCCCTTCCTTGCTCTTCCGACGGTTCCTCCCCTTACCCTGGCTATGATCTAAAGGAAAATTCGTTTTCAATTAGAGAAATGTTTCTTAATCAACAACATGCACTATGTATTGAGTCTAACTTGGAAAGCAAGACAGCGGACCAAGCCCGTGAAGCCCGTAAAGCCGAAGTCAAAGAATATTCTAGATATCCTATTGTGATAAGGATTAAGAGATTTAGAATATTTACTTATTCATGTTTATCTATTTCCTATTCTAATTAGGTTAAACATAAGTTAGTCTCTCTATATATTGTGTATCAATTCTATTGAGATCAATAACACAGAATAAAGAGTTTTCCCCTAAATCCTTCTCTACTTTCTACATGGTATCAGAGCAGTCGATCCTTGTGGATCAAAGTTAAAACGTTTCCGCATTAGACACTTTGTGTTCTCATCTTCAAAAGAGATCATGGAGAAACTCACTGGAGGTGACGACGTTGAAGACGGCGAGGAAGCCGATGAAGATGATGATGACGTGGGGTTAGGTGTTTAAACATATTTCTTAATTAAAAAAAATAAATCGTTGGTGTTCTTAGTTAGTTTACGTTTTGCTTTTATGGTTTTCAAGTTTATTTAGTTTATTTGGGGTTTCTCTTTTAAATGAGTTTCTTTTATTTGTTACAAGAGGCAGAATTATTGGGAGAGTTTTATGTTAGGTTTCTTGGGATATGATTCTTAAGTTTTAGTATTTCTGAAGTTTGTTAAGTATTTTGAGTTTGGTAATAGTTTTACCATTACGGGGGAGTTTGGTTATAGTTTAACCATTAGTATAGTTTATTGGAACGCTCATGTTTTTAGGTCATGTTTAGTCCGAGTTATGGACCATCCAAGTAAGGATGATTGTTTGTGGAGCAGCATAATTTGCGCCCACGGGATGTATTCCCTTTTACCAAGACCAAAGACGAGCAAAAAAAAATTCCACCCCTATTTTCAAGATTGAAGTTTTTACCCTGAGGCGTTTGTTGACATGATTTGTCCGTCCTCAACATATTGTCCACGACATACGTGTTCCGCTTTGTGATTGCAAAGTTTGCGTTTTGCGTACCACGTTTGTCGTGCGGGGGAGTATTGAGTCTAACTTGGAAAGCAAGACAGCGGACCAAGCCCGTGAAGCCCGTAAAGCCGAAGTCAAAGAATATTCTAGATATCCTATTGTGATAAGGATTAAGAGATTTAGAATATTTACTTATTCATGTTTATCTATTTCCTATTCTAATTAGGTTAAACATAAGTTAGTCTCTCTATATATTGTGTATCAATTCTATTGAGATCAATAACACAGAATAAAGAGTTTTCCCCTAAATCCTTCTCTACTTTCTACACTATGCAGTTTGAATCATTCAAATGATACCGTAACACTAATACAAAGTTACAAACCACAAAAATCAAGTTGAAAATGACTCATTAATCTTAAGAAGAATCCCTTGTTCTAATAGATCCTAATCTTTATTGTCATGCTTATTGAATACTCCACTAGCTAGTTCATTTATTAATTAATGACCCATTCATCAAAAACAATGTAAACCAAGTTGTGTGATTTACTTTGTTCATTTAACGGAAATGACCCCCTAATTCATTCATAAATTGGAATGTATCCTTTAACTTTTCACTCGAGATTATGCACAAAATGGGTTCAATTTAAGTAGATCTTTAGAAACTTTGCACTAAACAAAAACAGGGGATGTCTGTATACCCATTAAATTCACTAATAAAACGCTCCACTTTAAACCAATAATTAAAATTTAATTAACAAAAAAAATCCAAATATTTATATAGGGACTAATAATAGAAAAAAGAAAAGAACCTGATGACCAAAGCAGATGCCAAGAATTTTCTTCTTCATCTCGTCGATTTTCTTGACGATATCACAGAGCTTAAGGATCCAATCATGATTCTCAAAGGCATCGTGAGAGCTTCCACTGATAACGAAGCCATCGTATTTCTCAAGATCTTTCTCGTCAGGAAACTCACCGCTGACGACTCTAAAGGAGTCCCAATGCTCTCCTTCATCTCCGAACGTTGTCACGAACACGTTGTGGTATCCTCCGTAAGTTTTCTTCACGAACTCTGAGTCCAAAGTCGCTAGAAACAGAGCGTATCTTTTTTGCTCCACCATTTTTTTTTCTTCTGGCTGATGAAAACCACAAAGATTGATTGATTAGGAGAGAGATAGGGGAAAGAGAGCAGTGAAGAATAAACAACGTATGTATGTATGTATGTATTTATATGTGATTGGATTTGGTGACCTACCTACTGGTTTTTAATTTTTCACGTTTTATGTAACAGTTTTTTTGTATATATTATAGTATTAATTTTGTTCTTTTTTTATTCAGGAAATTAGAGGAAAGCAGTGGACGGCAAACCGTTGTTGACCATTCGTTGATTTATCTAGTTTGAACATGGATATCATTTACATCAACATTACATTGATCGTCGACAATAATAATAAACAAATAATGGTATCACCAATCAAAAGCAATTAATGACGCGCATTTAGTTTACTAAGTATTTCATATAATAATAGCTCAAAACTTTTCTTAAAATCTAGAGAAGTTAGTTTTGTCATGACTTACGGAAAATACCTGAGAATGTATATCATGTATTCATGTGATTTAAAAAGATAATATTTAAACTAAAAACTTATAATTGGATAAAATTATATAGTTTACCTTTTTAATGTATGTAAATAACTATCTTGGATATATTATACAAGTTTGACCACATATATACATTCTTCAATATATTAAAAAAAATATCTAAAATAAATTGTAGCGTTTTAAATAAGTAATTTTATGTAATTTGAGTTTATGAAACAATTAATTACCATTTTTATTCACCAAATATGTTAAAAATTCTAATTAACTTTGAGAAACTAAAAAAAATTTACACAAAATCCTTAAAATCTGCTGTCTAACTAAGAAGAAAGACAAACATAATAAAATTTTGTTATTAATGACTTTTCTTGACTACATGGGGAGTTAACTTTGGGATAAAATAGAACTGGAATTTTGAAATCTTATTATCTATTGTTTGGTTGCACGCTTTTGACCGAGGATTGAAGTATCAAACTTAAGGAAAAATGCATCAACGACGTCACTTTGATTTTTTCAGTATCATCGCTTGACCAAAACCATTATATATATACGTCGGTTCGTTTTTTATACTTTTGCGCAACTATATTTGTCTTCTCTAAAAAGTTCACTCTACAATTATACGTTTTTTTTTTTTTATCATTTTTATTCTGAACAGGTTCGTCGTGCTTTAAATAAATTCTTGCAGTGATATGCACATGGTTGATTTAACTTACCCCTGTTGTTCCTGGCAAATGGTCATAATCAACAGAACGACCAAAATATTAAGGCCTTGAATGGTGTAAGCGGGCCGAGTGGAGCAACTGCTTCTTTTTTTGGACTGCTTTTAGAGTTACCATTTAACAGTTTTTATTATAAAAGCAGATCATTATTAAAGTAGTAATAAAATTAAATGTGAACCACAAGCAGATCAAATACGTGAACAAAATTCTTGCACACAAGCAGATCAAAGGAACGCTCGTGTATAGGTATGTTCCAAGCAGATCACCCACATCTTTTAATTATAGTATTATTTATTAATGATTTATTTGTTCATAATAATTTTATATTTTTCCTATTAACATAAGTATATCAAAACTAAAAATCAATTTATTCTAATAAATACACCAAGATATTTATTATTATTTTTTATTATTGTTTTCATGGTTTTAAGTTATTAATTACATTAATATTTGTACGCTAACTAATAACTTGTAATGTGTAATATATTCATAAAGATTTTAGTAATCAGTATAAAACACATCATTTATAGTTTTACTAATATAATTTATGTATATTATTTTATTTCACAAATAAACAATAAATTATATGGATTTATGTATGTATTATAAGTATTTCATTATAATCTAATACATTAAATTTACTGAAACATAGTAATAATACTAATAAATATATTTTCAGGTATAATTCAAAATATTAGCATAATATAATTAGAAACATACATAAAACATATTTATAAATAATTTTAATTTATGTAGAATATTTTATTTAAAATTAACGTTTTTATAATATAAATATTTTATCTGTACCGTCTGATCCGTTTTCACCATTCAACACATATTTTAAAGCGTTCGAACCGCTTGATCCGCATTTGTACCGCTAGATCTGCTTGATCCGCTTTTGTTCTGTTTTGCACGCCTGATCCGCTTGATCCGCTCCGCCCGATACGCTTTCTCCATTCGGAGCCTAAGGCTTGTAACCGAAAAAAAAAAGTAACGCACATTTGACTATTCCTCTGCCGTTTCAAGAAGGGCGTTCTCATTGTCAATTTCGCTGTTTTTTAGTTATAGAATATTGTGGTCCAAGTATATGAACAAACTACAAAGATGAAATTCGAATATAGTCCATAAACTCGTCCGGTTACGTACATAACTACATATCTACTATTGCAGAAAATTTATTACGTCTACTACACTCTACAATCCACAGCATCTTTCACCTAAAAGAGAAGAACGACTACATTTGCCAATATTTGAAAAGGGCTTCATTTAGGGTTGACAAACATGGGTCTCAAGAGTCATGAATCCATGGCTAAAGGGACTAACAACTTGCTTACCATCACTAACCAGCTAACCTCCTTAATTAGAAAATCATCTATTTTCATTACTTACTAGTCGTAAATCATCTATTTTTAATGGATATCTAAATTTTAAAACAAAAACCAAGATTCAAAAAAAAAATGAGTCATTCAAGTTTAAAACTAATGGACACAGTTTCATATTTGTTGGTTCAAATTATTCGACACCATATGGGCTTTCCGTGACAAATCCAATATAACTTTTGTATTTTTGAATCAAAACTACAAAAGATAATGGTTCTAAGAAATGAAAGAGCCAATAAACAGAAGAAGCTGACGTTTCCTCAGACATTCTGTCTCATTCGTAACTCTTTTATTTTTGTTTTGCCTTTGCTCTGTCATTTCACCTCACAAGTCATTGCCTACGTGCTTTCAACCTCTATCTCTATTCATTTAGCTTTTTCTTACCATCGCCGTACACGTGTCACTCTTAAGCCTTTCGATCTTTCTCTTCTGTACCATAATCAACACCTACCAATTATTTTCAGTTTCGGTTCGGTTTAATTAGTGTGCTTTGATGTATTATGTATATGAAAATATATATAGGGTTTAGTAGTGGTCGTCTCGATAAAACCGAGCCTCGACTAGGGAGCACATGTTTTTGGTCAGACCATCTTCAAGCTTATATTGATTATATTATTTATATGTCTATATCGGTTACAATTGAAATAAATTCACTTTATTAGTAACCTACCTACAATAATATGTTGACAAAATAAACCCCTTACCTATAATGTAAGATACACATCATGTCTCAATTTAGTGATTAATTAGTTCGTAATAGTTGGGAGTTGGACGTAGAAATCGAAAAAAAGGATATCAAGATTTCATACGTTAATACATTTTTGTATGCATATCAGAAGTTTAGCAATGAGTTAGTGGACGTCAATTAACATAACAATTGGTCCGGTATACTACCAAATTATGGATGCAAACCGGCTTTAAAGTTTAAACCAACATATAATATAATAACACATTAATAACTCGATTCCAATGATATACAAATGTTCGAATTATATACAAATGTTCGACAGGTTGGTGTTAAAATCACACGCATGATAACAAATCTTTAAATTTTTCACCCAAATCATTAGCGATAACGTTAGATTTATCGTTCATAAATTAATAACGTAGTTTCCAGTCAAATCTAGACAAAATTACATAACTAGCTTTTTATTATTATTAACAAACGTAGTAATTTTATCACTATTGTATATGTATCTCTCTCTTTTCCGAAATACACTTGAGACTTGACGCATGTTGATTGGCTGCAGCAAAACTGCTGAATTTTTAATTGCTTAAATACTAAAATTTTTGAAAGTGATTAACAAAAAAAGTTTTCTTTACTTAATTAGAAATTTTATGACAGTCGTATTGAGTGGCTTGAACTTAAAGAGAGAGAGAGAGAGAGAAGGTAAGGTAAGGTTTAGAGAGAACTTGAGAGAGAGAGAAAGAAGGTAACGTTTTCACAAAGGAGGCTTCTCTCAGACGAAACGAATAAAGAACAAAAAAAGCTGTGAAGAATCCACAAAAGGTGACAAAAGCAAGAAGGAGAAGCAAACATGGATCCTTATCTTGTCTTCTGATTCACACACGTACTATTCTTCTTCTTCTTCATCATTATTATTCACCAAAACCACTCTTCTCTCTTTCTCACTTGTTAGTTATGTCTTATCTGATTTTTTTCCTTCTCTTGATTTTTGTTTGGTAGAAGAAAAGAATGGAGGGTAGTGTATTACTGCAACAATGGTGGGGGTTTGAAGAAGAGCATTTTCGTTAGAGAAGAAGAAGAATTAGTTTCATAACTCTTCAATGTCGTTGATCAGATTCATTTCTTTATGTCTTTAATTTAATCATCTCATTAAACAAAAAATAATGTGACGGGTTGGGAAGTAGTGATATTGGCGGAATGGCTCAATCTCCTTGTCACATTATCAGTTTCTTTGTTTTCTTCTCTTAAATTTTAATTTAGAGGTATGATTTCTTACTTCATTTATCTAGTTACATATCTTCTTTTACTTCTTGCTGAAACCAAAATTTATTAACTAATTAAATGGTGAGCTTTTTTCATATTATGCAAGAATTTGGCTGGAAGATGCAGGATATTCATTTTAATTTGAAGCATTTTTTATTTTGTTTACAAATCTTCTGATTTCTCGATTTGTCACTTTCTACTATATGTATATCTATATATTTGTCATCATACATGTTGATGATTTTGCATGTCTGTCTAATTAAATTTTTTATTACTTGATGTGTTAATAACTTTTTTTTTTTTTTTTGATGTGTTTTGTTGACGACCACAACATAGGAAAAAGAAGAGAGAGAGATCCAGTTCTACATTTCTATTTCTCTCGGGAAATGTGCCTATCACCAAATCGGATAGCTTGATTTTTTTTTATAAAAAAAATAATAAAAGAGGGAAATATACCAATATGTTAAGTATTCACAGTTATATTGCTCAGTCACTACGTACATTAGTCAATTATTGCTAATTAGTAGTATATGCTTGATTAAGAAATGATTAAATGACGCAATTATAAAGTGAGCTAAATTAAAAAATATATATATATAAGAGAGAAAGTGAGCTAAAATATAAAAAAAAAATTACAAGAGAGAAAGTGCTCAATGCAAGAAAAATGAATGGTCTGGCAGCAAGCTCAAAATCAATGCAAGGCTAAACATTATGCTATATATGAATTTTCTTGCTAATTTATTTTGTAGTATAGTGTAAAAAGACTTAACTACAATTAGTATTTTTGTTTTTTGCTACAATATTCTTGGGAAATGGGAGGTATCTTGAATTCCCTCTCCCTTGTGGGGTTTCTTGTGTTCTCGAAGCCCCAAACAAAAAATGTCACATCACATGGGTCTTCGTGTATCAACCATTTACTTTTTTTTTTGGTAAGCATATCAACCATTTACTAATTAAACAGATGTAATGTATATTGAAATTATCCACGAACAAAAGCTCTATCTCGATGCATATAATAATGTGCATTACTGTTTCTTAGATCAACTTTATACAAATGTGATTAATAAAGAAACACATAAACTTAATATGTACAACAAACCTCGCTGTTGGTAATGGTAGATATATTGTTCTTTGTTAATTACATTGGTCTGGACCAATTTTACACCTGGAATATATTCCCTCCGTTTCATAATATAAGTCGTTGTAGCTTTAAACACGCAGATTAAGAAAATTTACTTTTAAAAAGTTCAGCCAATCATAAAAGAGACTGCATAATATAAACAATTATAAAATATTAAAGTAATATATAAAGTGCATAGAAACTTGAAAACCACTTATATTATGAAACAAAATTTTTTCTCCAAAACGACTTATATTATGAAACGGAGAGAGTATGAAATATTTATGTGAAAGCACTATTGATTTCGATAACAACACAGCTAATTGATTTCATTTTAAAATATATATCACATATATCATATGATATACCATGTTTTGTTTTGTTTCATTGTGGTCGGTTAGGACCTAGGATGATCCCATGCCACACGACCAACATATACAGTAAAACCTCTATAAATTAATACTCTATAAATTAATAACCTCTCTAAATTAATAAATTCTCCTGGTCCCAATAGTGTAAAATATGACATAAATCGGTAAATTAATAAGATAATAATTTTTTTGAAAATCTCATGTAAACATATGGTCCTATCTATATTATAAATTAATAATTATATAAACTTATCAATATATATATATATATATTTAACTTAATATATATATATATATGATATAAATTTATATATGTCATATATGAATTACTTTGATATATATTTAAAATATTATATGTAAAATATTTAATAAAATATGACTCTATTATTCGAAAAAAGTTTGTGTTGATTTTTAAACTTAATAATTACTTATCTACTTGTAATTGATTTTAAAAAGGCATTGCTTTTAAAGAAAAAAAACAAATTTTTCTCTATAAATTAATAATTATTAATTATCGACAAATTAATACCTCTTTAAATTAATAAAATTTCATGGTCCCAACATTATTAATTTATAGAGGTTATACTGTATACTCCAGGTGTTGTTGATTGGGCTCAGAGTTTATACTTCAAACAAAGTTTTTTTTTTCAAACTCTGTTGTTGATTGGGCTAGAGTTTGGGCCTATAATCCCATGAGGCCCTCTTCCTCATCCGAAATTTAGTCACTTTTGTAGTTTTGTTCATCCGAACAGTTTTGAGTTTTGACCATGCATTATGTATTTATTATATCATATGGTCCATTTTGTTAATGATTTCTAGTTTGTTTTAGTTACAAATTTAAACAATTTTAAATGATGATGAAAAAAAAAAAAATTAAAAGATTGAACTCGTTAAAAGTTTGAACAAATTAAAAGTTTAATATGAACAAAAATTAAAATATTGCACTGAACGAACTCGTTAAAAAATTGAACAAATTAATAGTTTGTCCATGAATCATAAAATTTTTTGGCAATCGCACTAGTAAGTTTGTCAATCATAAAAGATTGAAAAAAAATTAGTCACTCTATTTTGTAGTCTGTCTATTAAAAATTTATTTCCCTATTTAATTCAAAATGCTTTGGATTTTGCAGGAAATTCAGGACCTTTTTTCTTGGAAAAAAAAAAATTTAGGAATCATAATTTAACGTAATTTTGTTGTACATAAATTCATTTTGATTTCAAATTCTGTACTATATGTTTCTTGTGTCCTTTATGCTGTATTTTTGTATTAGTTAACAAAACTATTATATATAGGTGTGTAAAGTTGTCTTCAGTATGAATAATAATTCCGGATATTTTAAAACTTACCTATGTACACAATTTCAATTCTTAAGTATGAACTATGAAGTATATTTGTCAATGCTCACTTGCTCAGTCTATGTGTATTTTTATATTTGTTTAATCTTTGACATATATATAATCAAGAATCATAAAGAAGTAGAAAGATTATAGAACGTGGAAGAATCAGGCCGACCATATATGAGCAATGGGAAATCGCAGAAGAATAGAATAAACGCACTCCGACGAAGATTTGCTTCCCCTTTCTCTCTCTTTTTCCCTTATTTTAACTTCAACTTTTTTACTCCATTTTTTCAGTTTAAATATATATTTTGCTTGTGTTTTCACGTAAATTTAAAAACCAAATACACATGTTTCTAGTAGTTTATACACCGTATATAAATCATAAATATTCGTGAATGTTAACAAAATTATAAGTTCAACCATACCTCACCAGTTTTTTCTATGTTATTCTCTCTATTCAGTATTCACAAACGTCTCACCCTAAAACGGTTGATAAAAAACAAGACGGCAAATGAAGAATTTTGAAACAGTTAATCACATAGTTGGTAAAATCAGCAAATTTTCACTAGATTTAGTAAAAGCTAAAATCAATGAGTTCAAGTTCCACTAATTAAATGTATGATTGATGACTCATGCTCCATAGCTACATGCTAGGATGCACAACAACACTGTTCTGCTACACATTGAGCTAGTCACAAAGCATACACAATTGGCCCTGATACCAAATAAAAAAGGTGACAATATTAAAAAAAGGGACTTGTAGGGAATAAAGTATATATATAATTAGTGCAATTTGTGCAAATAAGAATATGGTCCTGGGAATAAAAAAGATGAAACAAACCTTACTAAGAGAATTAGAGAGGAAAATATCCAAACTTTGTATGTGGTGCAAATTATTGGGAAGATGATTCTACTTTTATAATCCCTTCATGAACATTAATTATTTCCTCCTTTTTCCGTATGCTTTACATGATACTTCAATTTTTTGTAAGAATATTGCAACATTGCCCATTAACGCATCATAATATTGATCTTTAGCTGCATTTGTCCCATCATCCAATCTTCTCCACTTAAGTAAAAGACACAAAATTTTAAAAGTCTACCAAATTCGGTTGGATTGTTATAGCCCCACGTTAAATCTAATTGTGATGTTAAATTATTTATTAAACATTCAACAATATTTCTCTCGTACGAATAGGTTTTAGTTTCTCGATAGTGAATAACAAAGACTTTGTCATAATTTTTTTTATCAAATTACGTGTGCGAATAACAAATTATGAAAGTTAATTAAGGAATATACGTGAAACAAAGTACAAAGATGCATGCATGATGTAATTGGATCATTGATATTATGTGACATAAAAAACAAGGTAATTGGTTACAAAGCATCTCAATGCTTACCTCATCTTGCTCAACCTAATTCGGCATTTTTTGGCCACTTTCAACTCATGTACTTCTCCTCTTCTATATTTTTTTATGAATTGATTTAAAGTGTTTTTTAGCTAGTCATCACGGCAATTACGTTTTGTGACATTTGATGTTGTTATCCACTAACTAGGTGAATGTGTTAAAACTACACTTCGGTGAACACAAGATAGAAGAATTATCAAAATGATATTAGTTCAAACGATCAGATGAATGTTATTTCACATTTCTAAGTTCTAACTAGTCTAAACATATCAAAAATGAATTTTCTCACTTAAGTTGGTAAGAATTACTAAATCTCATCATTTTCAGTAATCTTTAGACTACTTCGAGATATGACATACATTTTCTTCATTAAAATTCATACAAATTTCCATAGCAGTTTTTTTTTTTTTTTTTGCTTCTTATTGTGTTTGAGTGCATCGTTACGCACGATGCAAATGGGCTATGCATGATTTGATTATTTATTAGTAAGTACATCTTAACAAAAACTTAAATTCATTTTCTAGCATTTTTACCGAAAACTTTATCACAAAACATACATTCGAAACGTGGGGGTCATGAATGTTCTTGCAGTAAAGTAAGATGTGATTGAAAGGGAAAAAGATAAGAAAAGTAATAAAATAAGATAAAAAGACAAAGAAGTAATTATTAGACCGTTCGATTAAATTAATACGAAAGTAGGAGGAGGTGGGCCAAAAAAACAACAAAGAAAAGTAGAGGGACAAAAAAGGAAAGAAATCAAAAGTATAGGGACTTATCATAAATAATGTAACATCACAATTCACAACCTCATCAGGGCAAGTGTGTGGATTCGCCTATTTCAGGCTTTCGTAAATTGTTGCAAGTTTCTCTCTTCGTATCACTATCTTCATGTTGTTGACATTTTATACAATAATTTCTTTATATGCGTATCATTAAATATCATTATCATTAAGTTTCAAATCTAGGTAGATAATGTAGATAGCAAATTTCATCTTCTGGTAAAATATTGTTTCATTAAGATGGAATTTTTTTTAGAAGAAGACAAAAGAGGAAAGAGGATGAAGCTATTTTAGCGTGCATCAGTCCTCTAGCCTGCACGGGTAGTCCTACTACATTACATCAATGTCCTCCATTTTTTTAAAATATAAATTTATTTTACTGTAAAATGGAGAAATAAAACAAATTTTGTAAACAAATATTTGTTAGTATTTATATTAAGATTAATATGCTCCTCTAATATTATTAAT